AGGGGGGGGGCAAAACAAAATGAATATTTTGGTTTTGACTTCTTTTGGGCTTGCTAGCTCATTAATATTTCGAGCTAAAAGTTAGCTCATTATGAGCTATTTTTTAGTTCATTTATGGAACTAAAGAATTAGCTCATTGATTCTTGGAATTGCCCTTTCCTCTTTCTTTTGTCTCTTGGGATGCTGCGGTTTCCTGCTGTTTTTGACCCCTCGGTTTGCTCCTGAATTATGGCCTGTGGTCCCCCTTTTTACCGAAATTAGTGTGGCTCTTCGGGTCCCTTGTCGGGCTGTTTTCCCGTGACTGTTGGGAGCTTTTCCCATGGTTTTGATGCTTGGTTTCTTGTGTTGAAAAGCTTCCCAGGCATTGGCCCTTGGGTTCCTGTGTGGTGGCTGTTGGTTTCCTGTTAGCTGCTGAAGTCCCGTTGGCTCTCTACTGCCTAGTAATCCGTTAGTTTTCTGCTGGCTATTAAAATCCCTGTTTTATGACTGCTGTTTATGCTGCAGTTTTTGTAATAAAAGCTAGTATTTTGGGCCTGTTTTTGGACATAATTTGAACAGTTTTATGGGGACTGTTTGGTGGCTGTTTTTGGGGGAATTCCAAGAGACTTTTACTGATTTCTAGACATATTTCTAATGCAATTTTTAGGTGTCGTTTGGCCTTCTATTTTCAGCTTTTAATTAATATTTTGGGGCTGTTTGTATTCCTCTTTTATGTCTATAAATAGTAGTTGTTTTGTAATGTTTTAGAGAGGTTATGCTGATAATTTTTGGGACAAAACCTGAGAGGTTTTTTCTGGAAAAAGCTTGAGAGATTTGTTCCACTTATTCTTCTACTTCTATGGAAATCTTGCGAGCTCTTTCCAACCTTCGTCTTGACTTCTAATCTCTTTCTTCTACCGGTGGAATGAAACTTGCGGAGAGACGAAAGAGATTAGAAGCCAAGACGAAGGTTGGAAAGAGCTCGCAAGATTTCCATAGAAGTTGAAGAAGAAGTGGAACAAAGCTCTCAAGCTTTTTCCAAGAAAAACCTCACAGGTTTTGTCCCAAAAATTATCATCATAACCTCTCTAAAACATTACAAAACAACTACTATTTATAGACATAAGAGGGGAATACAAACAGCCCTAAAACATTAATTAAAAGCTGAAAATAGAAGGCCAAAAGAGCGCCGAAAAGGCACCTAAAAGACTGCAGTAGAAATCTGGTCATACGAATTCAGAAGATAAATAGTCTCTTGGGAATTCACCACATAAAACAATCATCCAAATCACAGTCCTCATATAAACTACTTCAATTACTGTCCTATCTAATTAGTAAAGCCCAAATAATGAACTAACTATGTTAATTACACACACACTGCATAGGTGCAGAAATAGGCAGCCATAAAACAGAGTATTGAATATAATAGCCAGCAGGTAAATCGACGAATCGGGGTTACTAGGCCACTGTACTTCAGTACGTCACAGCGTGGACTTCAGCAGCTAACAGGCGAACCAACAGTCCTCACACAGGGAACCCAGGGCCAATGCATGGGAGACTTTTTACTGGACAGAGGAAGCCAAGCATTACAAACCATGGGAAAAGTTCCCAGCAGTCACGGAAAAACAGCCCAATAAAGGGACCTCGCAAGAGCCACATTTGACTTTTCGGTAGTAAAAAGGGGACCATCAGGCCATATTCAGAGCCAGAAAGGCGAGGGGTCAAAAAACCGTATGCAACACACGCAGCATTCCTAAGAGACAAATAAGGGAGATGGAAGGGCAAGTCAACGAATCAATTGGCTAGATTCTTTAGTCCGATAAATGAACTAAAACTTAGCCTCATAACTGAGCTACTTTTACCCAAAATACTTACGTATATTTGAGTACTCAGCAATGCACCTAAAAAAAGAAGTCTAAAACCACAGAGAGACCTTGGTTCATTGTTTGTTTTTGACTCCCCACTTGCCACTGCATACAGATACTCCCCTACTTAATACACATCAGGACCGCTTTCCCAAGGGCCAATGTCATGATTTAGCTTTTTCAATTCACATGGGTAATTATCCAAGCTCTCATCAACAACCATGAGTAAAAAGTTTCCCGCGGTCTGGAGTGGCTATTTTAAATGGCTACAACCCATATCAAGGACGACTGCACAAAGAGCACCCTTAGTTGAGTTAGTGTTAGGTATAATCCAAGGCTGGTGATGCCAGTAAACTCTTAGGTCCTATTTCAGGGTTAAATTTTGAATGTTCGCATTTTGAAGGCAATGTGCCCTTTAGAGGTCGACGATACCGAGTAGGGGACCGTTTCAAAAACAGTATTGAATACCGTTGCTCGCAGCAGTTCCAAGGAGAACAAAAACGGGACGGAGGAAAGGGCAAGTTTCAAGAATCAATGAGCTAGATTCTTGCCTTTGGCTTACGTTTCTTCGTTTAAATGAAGCGTAAAAACATAGCTCAAATACTAGACTTTAGCCAAATTCTGATTAATGGATATGCCATCTAGAGCTAGCAAGCCTCGAACCCAAACAGAAAGTGCGAAACGACATTTAAACCACAATATTCTCATGTTTGGTTCTTATGACTCCCCTTCCTCAATCTCGCGTCTTTTTTGGGGGCAGTAGGCATCAGAAATACTGGTCCCATCGAGGCAGCTACTACTCCTCGGACAAATGGTTGTCCTGAGAGAGACATTGTTACTCCCTATCCTCTCGATGACGTTTAGCTTTTGAGATATTCTTACTGAGGGGAATCGTGCGGAAGTTACGTAGAGTTTGTCTAGTTTGAAGCTCTGTGTTCGAATTTTTTCTTGTGCTATTATTTATTGTCCCATTTTTTGTAGATATAGACTTTATTTCTCGAACATTGAGTTTCTTACCAATGGGGAAAATAAGGTCCTCCTAGATACATTCCAACCACTACGCCATCAACTATTTGTAAAGTCTTTCTGGATGCAATTCCTTTAATGTTTTCCTTTTGATAATACTCATTTGAAGTACCCATGGATTTATCTTAAAAATGCGTACCAACTGTACTGCACCTCCATAGATTGCAAAGTATTTAATTTTACTACATATTTCTATTTGTTTGATCGGTATCATGAGGTAATTGTTCAATATCTTTAGGGATAGGAGGAATTTTTTGATTGTACATTTTGTTGACTTTGTTAATCCCCACCTATCCATAGGATCAATCAATGTCAATCTGGCTTCTGTTTTCTTTCTTCAGATTTTTTTTCTTCTCTTTCGGCTTTTATTTTATTAAATGGACATCAAAATAAAAAAAATTCAAAGAAAGACTTTAAATAGACTCACTGTAACAAAACTTGAACTCAAAATAGACTTCACTGCCACCGTCAATGCAAGTCTGTTGTTAAGGAGACTTTTTGACAAACTTAAACACCACCTATTGCCTAGCACGACCTGAATGAGTTATGAAGGTGACTATTTGAGCACGACACACCGAATCTTGGTAAACACAGATCTTGAGCTATTTCTCAGTGGTAGGAATTTCGCCGTATAAATATATAGAACACACTGATAGTGTGAAAGTCTCGTGACTTTTTAGTATTTACCTTAATTAATAAATTTGAAAACTATCCGCTTAACAATCCCTCTTTGTAGCTCTAGCATTTTGCAGCGTGGTGAATGCATTCAAAACTGACTTAAATCCTTTGGAGCTCTCTAAATTTTACGATTGAAGTAAAAGCTAATGATGACCCGCATAATTCTTCTTGCAAGGATTTCTAAAGATTGTTTGATTTATTTCGGTGTTTCACATATATGATTTATCCTTCTGTTTATTTGGATACTGATGTTGGTATCCCAACAGCTTAGCGATATCCGAAAATGTATACGGACGAGGATTTTATGATCATTTTCCTTTGACATATATATTATATCCATACAAGCAGCAAATACTCTGTGGGGAAAACCACTAGAGCGTTATATACTCAGCAAATTTCCACGGGAATCACAGCATCCAAATTTACATTCACCTAATCACATAATTGTCACAAAAAAGAACATAGACAGACTTTTATAATATTAGAGAAAACTCTTACATTTCATGACAACTTACAAAACGAACACTTACAAACTTGGACACACACACCAAACTTGCTTTTCTTAACTTATAGAAGAAGGATACAGGTGGAGATGAACACTGTCCGCGGAAGAGACGCAAAGAAGATTCGAAGCCAAGACGAAGGTTTGGAAAGAGCTCGCCAAGATTTCCATATAAAAGTAGAAGAAGAAGTGGAACAAAGCTCTTTTTCAATCAACAGAAGATCTAAGCGTATCGGGTTTCCTCTAATTGAAAAATTACAACCTCCCAGGGTGTATGAGTTTCCTCCAAAAATTATCATCATACCTCTCTTAAATAATTATATTAACGTTATAATCATGGTAAAACACTTTTAACTCTAATATTTTTGCTTTTGATAACTTACATAAGGAACGAATCAATGAATGGTAACAGGACATAAGAAATTATTAGAGAGGCGGACTATACAAGAAGCCCCAAATACTTAATTGGAGATAGGTAACCGTTAAGGAACTAGATAGTTGCAGCGAAAAGGCACCCATAAAAAACTAGCAAGGTAGATGGCACACAATGTTTATAATTGAAATTCTAGATAAACAAAGTCTCAGTTGGGAATTCCGTCCACAAAAGAACCACCAATACGTCCCCCCACTACCCATAAATTGTTTCAACTTATCTCTGTCCAACAACAGCACTAAGAACACTCAACCAATACTAGCTTTTTTACATATATAACAGTAGCAGATAAACAAGGCACTGGAGCCATTTAAAAGCATGGTGTATTTTAATGTTTTTTAGGCGCGGCAGGTGCTCGATTAGAAAACACAACAAGCATGTCCCAGCAGTTACTAAGACGACCGAACTGAATCGGCCCAAGTAGAGAGCCAACGGACTTCAGCACGTCTAACACGAGGCGAAACCAAACAACTACATTCACCACACTACGCACACAGATTAACGGCTCCAAGGGCCAATGCAGTGGGAAGCTTTTTGTCCAACACCAGGAACGCAAGCATCGCAGACTACCAATGGGAAAGAGCTCCGCAGTCTCCGGGTATTATCTATACCCAAAGGGACCGCCGAAGTGTTCACATCAAGAGG